TGAGCTGTACTGGAAGGTGGCTGCATGCTTTATCCCTATTCTCGTACCAGATAGATCAATGAGTAGGGCTCTGGCTGACAATCTTCTGAACGACTATGTTGAGAGCTTGAACGAGTTTGGCAATTTTGTCCCCCTAGAATTTGGGTTACCCGAGCTGCCTCACACCTAGCACCACCGCCTTGTAGCCAAGTTTTTTTAACTGTCAATCTATTTATCAGCTATAAGCTGTGTGTCATAGGCACATTTGTTTCAGCTGCTGCAGTTTCGGTCACCGGAAGACGGAGAGTAAAACATATAACCAAGCCTTGGAGACGAAAGCATGTCCAATTTGTTCGGAAATTGGGTAGCTACGCATTGGGGCGATAGCTTTGATGCATGAGCGCCACTGACTGCATGATTGGGCCGTTTCCGCCAGTGTCGTTCGCCATTGGTGATTGGAGCCTCGGAGTCCCCATCCAGGGAGGCGGCAATTACCCACCCGACTAAGTTTACTGGTTAGTGTTTTCGTACTTCGTTGCAAGATCACACACTGTCCACCTCTGTCGCTTCCGCTCTACTGGGCTGGACGAAAAGAGCTCTGCGAGGAAGACGGTCTTCTGGCATGCGAAGTACATGTCCCAGCCAGCGCAGCCTATGAAGCGTGAGTAATTCATCTATCGCAGGAGAGTTCCTCCTTCCTAAGACCATCTGGCCTACCTCAGCATTACTGATGCGATGTCCCCACCAGCTCTGACCAATGCTTCGGAGACACCAATGATCAAAACATCTTCCGTATATCTTCTGCGCGTAGGGGCCATGTATTTATCCACAAAGCAGTATAGATTGCACCATCGCAGTGTAAACCCTTCCCTTGATAGACAAGCTCACGCCACGTCAGCGCCAAAGGTTGGCAAAAGCTGCCCTGGCCTTTCCGATTCGAGAAGTAATCTCATCTCCAGTCAGTCCACCAGAACTTGTACAGTTGTCCAGGTAAACAAATTCATCTACCACGTCGATTGGCTTACCTGCAAGCATGAGGCGTGGGTTTGATCCCACCCAGCCTTGTAGCAGCACTTTACATGGCAGGTGTGAAGCGCACGCCAAACTGTGCGGCAGAGTTATTTAGGTTATTTAAAGCCGTTTGTATTTTGGAAGGATTTGAACCAAGGAGAGCAATGTCGCCTGCATGCTCAATGTCTGCGAGGGAACGTCCCGGGAGAATTTTGACCCCGAGGTTCGGAGGGCAAGCAGAGGAATTTCAAGAAGCATATCAATAACAAAGTTGAAGAGGGAAGGGGAAAGGGGACAGCCTTGTCTTACACCACTGGGCGTGGTGAACTCACGAGGAAGCATGCCGTATGCCGCGTCCACAGATGTTCGCATACACTGCCTTTATAAGGGATATAAATATGAAAGGGACGACTTTGATCGCCAGACACTGCCAAACGTACTGAAGATCGACAGAATCAAAAGCAGCTTTCAAATCCAGAAAAGTTACCAACGTGGGACGTCTGAAGTAGTGGCGTTGTTCAAGGACTTGTCTCGAGGTGAAGATATGGTCTATGCATCCTCGACCAGGAAGAAACCCAGCTTGATTCTGACGAATCCGTCTCTCCAGGTAATCCACCAACTTGCGCAAAATAATCCCAGAGAGCACTTTAGATGCAACGGATACCAGGCTAATACCACCATGGTTTTCACATGACGTTCTCGCTCCCTTTTTGAAAAGTGGGATGACGGTCGAGGACCTCCAATTGGCTGGTATTCTGTGTTCGTTCCAAATCTTCTGCAGTATGGTTGTCAGACTGTTCGCCAGGACCTCGCCACTTTCTTTGAAAAGCACGGGATGTAGAATATCCGGGCCAGGTGCTTTGTCGCACTTCAGGATTGAAATCTCACGCTGGATTTCGGTTGCTGATGGTTGGTCGGTGTCACTGTTCCACCCGGGCCCGCTTGGTTCTTCCAGTGGTTGCGTTGAAGGAAACCAGGTGAACTGTTCTTGGAAGTGCTCAGCCCACCGCTTAAGAAGGCGATTGAGGGAGTGAATTAACGTTCCCTCTCTCGCATATTGTCGCACTGCCACCTGCATTCTTTTGACCCGTCGATTGGATCAGTTTAAACAGAGCGCGGCTGTTGCCTGCAGCAAAAGCCTTCTCCATCTTCCAGGCTTTCGGAATCCACCAGCGTTCTCTCTTATTCTTCAAGCTCCTGATTATCCGGTGTTTGAGGGATCCGCGTGCCCCATCACGGTCCTTAGTTGCTGGTATGGCCTTTCTGGCAGCAATAAGATCTGATGATCTTTAAGATATCCAGTGTTCATTGGGTCGAGTCGGATGGGCTGGACAAACAGTTTTGAACGCTGACAGCATTGCTTCTCTAACTCACCTCCATTCATCCTCCAAGCAATCTTCGTCGTCCATGTGACTGCGTTTTCAGTAGCTTTCTAGCCAGATCAGCTCGATACTCTTCAGCCACTGAAACTTATCGAAGTTGATGAACAGAGCTGCTCTGTTTCGGCACACATAGCGCTGGCGGTATGCGAAGCGCTACGTGGGCCCGCGCGATGGCGTGATCAGAGTCAAGTTGCGTACCACAGAAGGAACGACAGTCCTTAACTGAGGCTCTCCATTGGTAACTGATAGCCATATGGTCCAACTGAGTCTAGGACTGTCTTTCGGTAGATAGCCTCCAAGTAACTCGGTGTGTGCGTTTTTGTTGGAAGTTCGTACTAGCCACGAACAGACGGTGATCTACACACAACTGAAGAAGCCACTCCCCATTACCCGTACGTTCAGCATCGACTCCAAGTCGACAACCTAACTGTGCTTCCGTACTTAGTCGTCCAACTTGGGCATTCATATCACCTGCCAGTATTACTACATCCGTCCTTGCTGACCGAAGCAGTCGTAGCAGATCGTGATAGAACTAGTCCTTTTCAGTCTCAGAACTGCTATCTGTTGGGGCGTATGCTGATACGACAAAGGAACATTGTTTACCGCAATCATACCGCAGAGGACAAAACGACTTTATCTCCAGACCGCCTCGTAATATGAGTACTCGCCGTTCAGGTTCGGTGGCTTCCAGCGATTGTGTTGAATGGACCGATTGAATTCTTCGTTACCATTCAGCCCATTGATAAAGACGGCGGTTCTGCTACCGAATCACTGCTACATCTACGGGATTCGTTTCGCTGACATGTTTTCCTCTGGCCGGTTGATCGAATCAGCTAAAATAGGACACAGCTGCTGCCTTCAGTGAAAACCATCTCCTGGGCCATCTCAATCAATCAGCGTTCTCTGTCATTCTTCAGGTTTTTGCCTATCCGACATTTGAGGCATCTATTGTTTCTTCCTGATCGTTAACTGCTGTTTTGGCTTTTGTACTAGCAATATTATCTGGTAGTCTTGACAAGATCCAATGTTCTTTCAGTCGAATCAAATGACTGGCAGACCGTACTAAAAGATCAGTTGATTATCCTCATTCATTTTCTTCCACTCGTCCTCCAACCCATATTCGTGATCGCCTGACCATGCTTTCCAGGCAAATGAGTTGGATGTTGTTGAGCTAATGAAACCAGGTGCAGTTAATGTACGGGATTATTCTGTTTCGGTTTGCGTAATCTTAACGTGAAACGGAGTGATAACCGAGCCCGCACAATGAAACGACCGGAGTCAGGTTGCGTAAGCCAGAAGAATGGTGGTCCTTAATCGAGGCTCTCCTTCGGCATTTGGCAACCAAATGGGTCAAGACTAGCTTGTCGTTGGTGGCCTACAGGTAACTCGATGCGAGTACTTGCGCAGAAACTTCATGCTGCCCAGAAGCAAACTGTGTTCAACACAAGTGAGGAAATCACCCTCCATTATCTATACGTTGGGCGTCCACTCTGATCCTATCACTTGACCCTGCTTCTTCTGGGCCTAATCGTTCAACTTTCACCTTCATAGCATTCACTAGGATGATTGTATCCTTTATTCTTGCTGTCCGGGGACATTCGTGGCCGATCTCCGTAAAACCCATCTTTCTCAGGTGACGTGCGTGTGTGCTGGTGAGCGAAAAGCTGTACCGGCAACTACTACTTCCCGGCCACTTAGACCCGAGGAAGAGAATTTGTTCGAGTTATTCCACCTTGAACCTGTTAAAGCCCGACAGGTACTTTAAGGGTGGATTTCAACTCAACAGTCTGACTGGCTTGATTTCATGGAATTGGCCCAGCCATGGTTGCCTCATTTCTGTTGCTCCTGCGCATATGGTATGCGTTTGTAGCTGCGTCAGGCTCGTGGCAGGTTTTAATCGTATTTCGACCTTATTGGATGATTCGCTGGCTCTCGTGGTCAAACTTCGGCAGTCGGAGTGTGCGGTTGTAAGAGCTGGCCTTTTGTAACCCACCTTACACGAGAGAAGGCAGCATAGTCGCTTCCATCAATGTAGGCATGCTGTCCGCCTAGAAGAAACAGCATACGCTTTCACATTCCTATGGCATAGAAGAGTACATCAAGGAATCAGCTTTTGGTTGAAATGTCCTACCAGAGTACTAGGTGTCCTGTAAGCCAAATGACGAATCACACTTGTTAAAACCGAGTTTATGTCTTTCCACACCACTTCGTCCAACGCATTCGTTTTTTTAGTTACTGAGCTGGATGTTTGCAACCAAAACGAGTATTTTAACAAACATGCACTTTCGCCTAGTTTGCTACTAGCCTCCACGAAAGTGATCATCACGTTATCCCGGTTGGTAATCCACCATCTGTCTGCAGCGTTTAGTCACTCAAGTCGGTGGACTGTAAAGACATTCTAGCTTATGTTTACATGTGTGCGATGTTGTTATACTCCTGGTCTTCAATTCCATAAATTTCTGTCCTCATCGCTTATCTCGTGCATTCCTATGTCGCATCCGTTATTCCAGTTAACTTGACTGAAGTGCAAGCGCAACAGATCTTTGACGAATTTTTTGAAGAAGTTTTCGTCGAATGTGAAGAAAAGGTAAGTATTGATCACTAGTTTTACTCCCTCTAGTACGGAGAAATTGAGGAAATGAACGTATGTGACAATCTGGGTGATCATCTCGTTGGTAACGTTTACATAAAGGTAAGTCGCTCAGTTTGATCTTTATGTGTAATATTTAACCCTAGTTCCGTAGAGAGGAGGATGCTGAAAAAGCAGTGCAGGATTTGAATCTACGCTGGTTCGGGGGTCGACCGGTTCACGCTGAACTTTCTCCTGTCACTGATTTCCGCGAAGCCTGTTGTCGACAGTATGAACTTGGGTGAGCAATTCTCTAAATACTGTTGTTGTTGTTGTCGTTGTTGTTGCTATTTTTGAATGCACGAGTCTTCTGAAGTTCTTTTAGTCACAGAGTGACGTATGCCTGTGCGAGACATTTACCCTTGATTTCTTCATGGTCTGATAGGTTCCCTTGGACTGTTTCTGTGGGTAATCACCTAGGCTTTGAAAACCAGCCATAGTAGCTAATTTATTGCGTGTTGTCCTGCGGATTACCGACCCTGGTCGGATGACTGAATGGTTGCATGCTAACTGGTACGATTTCATCCGGGAATGTGACCTCCGTGCACCTGGCTGTTTATACTCGATGTTCACTCAGTATCTCGATCCAGTTCAGTTTATTGCCTGTTTGTGCTTCCGGCTGCGTCTCCTATAATTATAATCATCCGTTCTGGATGGAACACGATCAGATACAACCAGCTCTCAAAACTTTTGGCCGATCTCCAAAGGGTAGATCACACAGATGTATTCAAACCCCATCTCTTCAATAAAAGAGAAATGGCAGTGAACTTTACGGCGACTTTTTCGTATTCAGTTTACTCTATGTTGTACCTTCGAATGACCAGCCTGTAACCTGTTTCAATGCACTGGCCGTTTCTCTCCAGCAACACTGTTACAAAGCGAGATTAGCAGCTGACCGGGAAGAACTTCCGTTTCCCCCGGCTGTCACTTTTGATGACCAAGCAATAGTTGGATTCTTTTGTGTAAAGTAAACCAGTTTCACTTTAATTCTAGGCAATAGCCATCGGGTGAATCATTAAGTTTTCGTCAAACAGCACTTTAAAATCATGTATCTTACCACAGACTTTGTGTAAATTCATTAGTGCCCATCCTCAGAGGCCTTCCGGTCATATTAATTCCTCAAAAGAGACCGATCTCCCGGAGGAGTCATTAGCCACGAGAAGAAACTAGCATGACCAAGCAATAGTTGGATTCTTTTGTGTAAAGTAAACCAGTTTCACTTTAATTCTAGGCAATAGCCATCGGGTGAATCATTAAGTTTTCGTCAAACAGCACTTTAAAATCATGTATCTTACCACAGACTTTGTGTAAATTCATTAGTGCCCATCCTCAGAGGCCTTCCGGTCATATTAATTCCTCAAAAGAGACCGATCTCCCGGAGGAGTCATTAGCCACGAGAAGAAACTAGCCCTTGGAGGAGACGAGAATGCCCCCCCCCCTTTGTGGTACCGCTTTCCATGGAATAGCTTTATTCTCTGCCTAATACCTTCCCTTGTTATCTCTATGATTCTCCCAAACGGTACGAATGTAAGTCTTACCTGTGCAGAACATGTTCGGGAGATGTATATCGACGCAACTATGATGAATTGGGATTGTACCGACTGCTAACTTCGAATGTTTAGAGGCGATTCACAGATTAGCTGCTTCTGTTCAGGATTCAGTATTGTTTTAACTAATTCACCCCAGTTTGTTTTATGTTGGCTATCGCATACATGCACTTCAAATGGACGCTTGAACTGGACCCTTTCAAACGTCCCCTAAAGGATTCACAAAGTATCATCTGCTCGGAGCCTTCATTTTTGGCTTAGAGATAGTAATATCCTTCTCGATTGCACTTCCTGCATGTATACAACCGTTCTTTCACGAGTTACTTCCAAAAACAATCTGACATCTGTAGTAACCATCCGGTGGTCATACATATTTGTTACTCGGTACTGTGTAGTGGCACACATCACGGATTTAGACGAACTTTACTCCTGACAGACGAGCTAGTGTCTGTGATTTCAGAGATCGACAGAACTCGTCTTGATATCACGGTTCGAGAAATGGCCTTCTTTCATCAACCTCCCAGGGCAACTACACCCGCCTAAGTAGACTAATTTGTTAGCCACATCCCAGTTTCTGCACCCTTTTATACTTCATGAGGTATCTGGCCGAATTGAATCACATACGCTATGATTATGAGATCATGCAGTTATGCAGTTGGAGAGTTCTTGCGTAACGCTTGTACACACATATTACTATTCCAGTGTGAACATTTTATACAGCGTTCTGTCACTTTTAGAGGATGCACACTTTTTGTGCTATTTCAGGATGATGCTAATGGCCATTACAGGTTTTTGATTTTGGCCGCCGTGGAATACTAGCCTTCTACTGTTTCTGAACATAACTTTTTCTGTTATTTAGGCGAAAAGCATAAGATTACGTTAGTGGTAATCGTTCAGCTGTAACACTTTTCCGATGCACGAGAACTGGGACACTACCAGGTTGCCCAAGCCTAGACGGGGGAAGTCGAGAGGCAGAGGTCGGTTTCGAACCGCGGACCTTCCGGTCAGTAAATCCGCTCTCTAACCACCTGAGCCATCTCGCCCCTTAAGTCAGTGGTGTCAAACAAAACGTACAGGTAAACCGCAAGCATGACTTGTGTGTTGCTACTGCATTTAGCCATATCGACCACTTTCAGCAAATTTTTGTAGTACTCCCCTTGCCTGACATCAGACCTGTAACGACTGCGATGCGATCATGTAGCTCTCCTGGCTATTCTCTTCTTTATAGTGCAACTAACTCTATAGTCCAGTCAGATTAGCTTTGCCTTTTCGAGATCGTATTAGGGATAGCTCTGCGTAACCTGTTTCTCTCCATTCATATTTGCTTGATAGTAGAGGTTTTGTTTGTGATAGAAGTAAATTTCTCAGAAATTTGAACAGGCACTAACTGCACTGCGAACAATAGCAAATTATATTATGGACTGTTATGACGTAACTTCTAGTCAGGTATTCCACAGTGTGTGCTCGTTCTGTTCAAAACAACCCGACACTACTTTACCAACTCCAAGCTCTTGAAGCAGCCTGTTTTCTTACTCATTAATACGATGATCTTAGTGGATATTCCCTCGGTTAATGACTACTGCTACATACCTGTTAGTTTCACGCACAATATCTGGTGTACCACCAAAGATGACGCCTTGTTTAAATTTGCTTACATCTGCGTCGGTCCGGTTGCACACTAACCTTATTTCTCTTACCTAACTGCTTGGAAGAAGTCGCGAAGTTTGTAGGAATTTTCTCATTCTGGTTCTTAAAGTCCATACAAACTTCGTACTATTTGTCTGCTCACAATGCACTTCCCTGTCCAAGTGTGCACGTTACTTCTTGTCCACACCGACTGGTATATGCAGTGATATTGCACCCGTTCACCTTAATCTCAATTCTTCCATTTTTCCAGTGAGTGTACCCGGGGAGGATTTTGCAACTTCATGCATTTGAAGCCTATTTCCCGCGAACTTTGCCGTAAACTTTACAATCGAAGCAAGAAGCGTTACGGCCGAAAACGACGGTCACGGTCTCGCTCCCGTTCACGCTCACGTGATCGGCGTCGTTATTCTCGATCCCCGGGCGGTCGTTCTTCGCGCCGATGAGGCGGCACGATGTACACATGGCTGCAAATATGACAACTCACCTCATTCGTTCGTGCTTAATTTCGCCAATTAAAAACATTTTTCACCCTGTTTCATACAAACACTGCCGCGTCTCCCTTGCCTTTTGTTACTGTGGTATCGTTGGGCCAGTCGTGTGCTTTCCAGTATTTCTGTGACCTTAGCCTCATGGATCGCCAACTGATAGGAAGTATTTTTCCGATTGCCAGCTGTTAGTCACTCTCACCACATCCAACATCAATACGAATCTTATTCTTCATCTTCTTCATCAAAAATACCATATCACATGATGGGACCTGAGAGGTGTGGCAAATCCTGATGCGTCCAAAACACTCAATAGAGAGATCGGTGAATAGTCCGTGTGTGATCGGATTCGCGACCACCTTGTGCTCAGAGGATGGGTTACTGTAGTTGCGATGAACTATCAGTTATCTGCCAAGTTAGAGATGGCTGGAAATGGTATAGGTCTTAAGACACAAGTTCTTGAGTGTAAGGTTCATACATGACTTATTAACTTTATCTAATTTATGCTCTCATCGTAGCCATGGCTGCTACATAAAAAGGTACTATTTGGCATGGCTTGTAGCTAAGTTTGTTGACTTACAAGATGGATTCCGTCAGCTTGGTTTCTCTTAGTTGTCTGCAGTAACTGATAAGTGAACCTGGACGCGTAGCTCCTCTTTGTTCACTTCATTNAGAGCGGTGGGCAGACTGCCGACGTCACTACCCATCACCCATTATGAATTGCAACTCTCGAACCGAGCGTGACTCGTTCGACTTGAAGCTAGAAAGGTTCCTTAGAACTGGAAGTTGTCCTGATATGGTAGAGCGTAGTTGGGGCTATTTGCGTCTATTACTTCTGTTCTGCGAATGATGACTTATTTGAAAGGGCGGCAAAACGGGAAATCGTGGTCTTGTCCTATGTGAACCGTAGAATAACTTCTCGTTTGCCTAGTGACAGCCTGACGATTATTAGTATCTGTCTTAGTCTAGCGAGGATCCGGTTGTTTTTGCCCGGGGGCCGACAATTGATTGATTGCAGATTTGACTCGCCGACTATTAGACATGTCATCCCCTGAGTAATCCGTCTCACAGACTCGTCCTCTTGTGAACCTTTTATCTGACATCGGAAACCTGATTATCCGGTCATTATCTGAATGCCAACCAACAGCGTTTTATCTATTAATGAGTGCAGCTGGTGCTTTGCTACTTTGAAGCTATGAAATTTCATCTTTTGTTTTCTTGTTCAGGTCATTGTGGTGAACTTCTGAAGTTCTCTTGACCTACTCACTTTCAACGCCGTTCAATGTAATCTACTTCAACTTGCTCTCTGGTTGTTTAAGAACAACAATCCAGCTGACAGTTTTTTGCTAGGGTTATCTTGTCTTGACCATAACTGAGCACGCTGTCGACTGCTTGTTGAGGTGACCTGTGGTACGGAAAATGACAACACTACAGCGTTTACTTACAACAGACTAGGTGACCTGTGGTACGGAAAATGACAACATCACTGCAGCGTTTACTTACAACAGACTACTATATAGGGTTGACCTCACCAATAATGGCCACGGACCGATATCTTAGCTTGCTTTGGGCCTTGGTGTCGTGTTGTGGCCAGAAGGGCGAATCTTATTGGTTGTGATTTGCGGGTACTGACTTGATAAGGCGGTGCTTGGAGTGGGGCGAACAGTTCTCGAAAAGTAAGGTACAAGGTTCCCGGTCGACGTCAAAAAGACAGCTTGTGACTTATTAATGACGTTTTGCGGAGCACACCTCCCATTTTCAAATGAATGCTGCTCTACCGTACCTTTCCGGGAATCATTGGTTACTGCTCAGCCAAATCAGGAGTAACGCCCAGTCTACTCCCACGTTCAACTACAGAATTGTCATTTCTGGCTTCCGCGTTTAGTTGTCTGAACCTTCATATCCAGTGTTGGCGTTTTTGTGCCTACTCTGTGTTTATTCTTTGTTCCACCACCCAAGGATGTGCAGTGCGTGTGTTGATTGAAACTGGTCATCCTAACTCTTGAGTGGTCGTGTCCGACACTAACTCTCTGGTCACCGATTGAAAGCTACTGTGTACAAACACAGTCCAAATTCTCAGTTTGGGTCCTGCAGCTATGTGATAGCAATGTGCTTCAAACTTCTATTCTGTCCTCGTCTTCTTCCAATCTAGCGAGTGTCCGCGTGGGAGACTTTGCAATTTCATGCATCCGAAAACCGTACATCCCTCGCTCTGTCGGAAGCTCTTCAAACGGAGCATGAAACTAGCTGAACGCAGACGCAGGTACAGCTCTCGCTCTTCTTCCACCTCCTCTCATGCTCGTAAACGTCCTCGTTCACCAGACGGACGGTCTACACGGCGATAACCCGATTAAATTGCTCACTCCCCGATATTTTCCTGCCCTTGCATTTGTACAGTTCAGTTAACGCTCCTGTTGGTTCACTTTCCACCTAGGTTGTTTCACAATATGGTTTTGATGAAAATCCCTCCGTTTTCCCTTTTTAATGCATGGCGTTTCAGGAAGTTGCACTGTAGTCCAGGTCTTCAGTAAACACCTTTCACCAACTGTCGATTGGTGTTTTATTTCTTTTCAAGCTATGTTGACTACCCACAGGTACTTGATCGGATGAGCCAAATGATTAATTGGCACCTATTAAGCAGCGATGAATGTCTCTGTAGTGTCCTCACTGGTCAGTAAGATTACTCAACATACCTTCGAAATAAGGACTGCGCGAGCTAAACAAAAGGCTTAGATATCTCATTCACTGATTGAACTACGTAACGCGGATATACCCTAAGCACCTACGAAACCCACAATGTCTCCCACCTCCCAGAAAATGTTCATAGGCCGTTTCCTAGCGACGTACATGTGGAGATGTGTTGCACATTCTTACGGGATTCAGAATAAAAGTCCCAAAGCCGAGATATCCGCACATTCACACGACGTTTTCCCTTCGCTTGTGCGGCAGTGGGCTCAAATCTAGATAAGCAGGGTTCATGAAACCTCAAAAGACGAGCACAGCGCTTCGGAAAATTTCACAATATTTCTAGTTACCGGGATTCTGAAGTACCCCTCCACGTTCGAGGTAACCAACGTCGCAGCACAAGCATACGTGACGGTGGTTATCGTGATGACCACAAGTGATCTAGGATCGGTCTTATTTATTCCTACTCATTTTTAATTGTGCTTTTTTGCCTCTAAATCACGATTAGATTCGATTGTGAGAATGAATTCTGCTCCTAAAATCAAAACCTGGGGGACTTAGTTTTCCAAACTCAGCGAACGGAATACCAGTCAGCTAATTTTCTGTTTAATGAAATGATCATTGCAACGGTCTCCGCTGCGCAGTATCTCAGTGCTGGATAGGTTTATCCTTTCAATTTGCTGTAGATGTAGAATGTACGCATTTTGAGATAATCCAATTCAACATATCAGTCGGCTTCTTGACCGACATTCTTTCTTTGGGAAAGCCTCATTCTCCGGGTCAGTTACGTCAAATTCGTCTATCGTATGGGCGGCATTACTCCGTTGGCTGATGGCCATCAGTGCAGTTGAAATTCTGAGGTGAGTCATTAAAGCTCGTTTGCGCCTGCCTCGAAAAGTTCATTCATCAGTGCGAACTCACATTCAGTAGTAAATTAAAATACATTTGCGAACCCCCTCCGTTGTCCTACCATGCTAATGAAGGAAAATGCCTGGAACCATAGGCAAGCCGCTGCGCTAAAATGTGTTCTGTTGGGAAGGTTCTCAGTCTAAAATGAGACCCTGTCTTGTGCTTCACTGGGTCTACTCTAGAAACGTAAAATGTGAGAGCGCTGCCTCAATATGTTCAAGACCGTTGCTTGCAATATGATTTTGGTAAACTGGTCTTGATGTCAATGGGGAATCAGGTGACGTTTCAGTTGGACAACATTTTTATGAAAAATCTTGTGGTGATCTCTCAACTTACACAACACTGCGTGCAAACGACAAGTATATTAACCGGAATACACAAAGAGAACTGAACATGTGATTAACAAACCAAGAAACAAGCTTGGATTCAGAGCAACATAGGTCACCAGGTGGGACTCAGAGAAGTCAAGGACAGAAGTCACCCCAACATCCACCAGTGGACGAGAGTAGGGGAGGCCAAACTCAAAGGTCGCATGGCCAATCAGGAAAGAGGACAACGGAATTTCCTGACCGAACAATCAGTCGCGATCGAGAATCAGCCCCCGACCAACTGCATGTATATCAACACACACATACACACCACTACTCAACGCATAACCACTGACCCATCGCTACGTTCCACTCCACCTCTTACAACGTGCTAGTCATGAAACGTTTGAAATCAAATTGCCCGGCTCAGCGGACAAACAAGTGGTAAGTAGATACAGTTCTCAGGATCATGCGCGAACCAATCACTTATTGGGAGAACAGTTGCTATGGCTGGGTATTAACACCATTCGCTTGCTTATGAATCAGGTCCTGATCAACGCATCACTCAGACCAAATTGGAACTTCAACTTAGCTGCGAAAGATCTTTCAGTTATCCATCATGCCAGTGCGGGAACTTCACCATGCCGAACGCAGACGGGGCCGGTCAGGACGATCTCTTCAGGAGCACGGAGGTTTTAAAGCCCGTCACAACCCATTGCTTCTACGTGAATTAAAATGACGCAATGGTAAGTCCAAGAGCACTGCATGAACAAAACCAGTGATCTGGTTACTAGACGGTTGCTGTATCAGACGAACTACGGAGAGCGCTTGCTCTCTGTCACAGAAAGGTGATTTGGCACCTTATAAAGGAATGTCGGCTGATGTTCGTGACACAATCAGTGGACGTCTCGTGTGACTTCCACAACATACTACACTTTGATTTCGTTTATATTCCCAAGGGGTTCGGTGTAGATTGTTTAATAGAGCTTGAAATGAAAAGTTTAAGTAAACCACCTGAGCCAGAAGGTGAGCATTGGGGTGAACTCAAAACACCTATATTCGTCTCATTCTTTAATTTCAAAAGAGAAATTGCAGAGCTGCTCTGTGTGCACGAAAACATTATGGCGATTTCTACCAACAAGACTGGAAATCTTCATTTGGTAAATTGAACCCGAACTTCAAGAGACCGACCCAAAATGTCCACTCTCAAGAGGCTTTCTGTGGAGGGTTTTCACTAAGGTCACCAAAAGTGAAGTACCAAAACAGTCTAATCGACCGTTTTAGACAGCCTTACAGGTGGTGTAAAAGCATTATCGCATTTGTGAACGTGGGGTGAGCAGCGATAATTACACAAGGACGTTGATTTTGTTGCACTGATGCGTCGTCGCCAGAAAGGTAGTTCACTTGAACAAAATGTCTTCCAATCAATTGAAAAATGTTTGAGACAGATAGAGACAGAGTCATTGCTTCAGAAGATCTTGGCAAATAATCGATAGTTTTTAATTGGAAGACGTTTCGCTTTTGATACAAAAGCTTCATCAGGTCACCAAGTTGGCCAGGTTTTAAGGCAGACGCAGAACCAATCAGTAAGAGTCTTCATATTGGCGCACCAAATCAGTGTTGAGTGGATTCTAAACACGGTTAACATAAGAGTAGCTTTTCAGAAGGGCAACACTCTGCGCCCTTCACTGGTGCAATTGAAGGATCGCCTCTCGGAAAACGTAACCAGGAATTGCCTACAAAATAAAGTGTAACGATTGGACTAAGGTCTACGTAGGACACCAAGGCCAGGGAACTTCACACCAGAATCGGTGAGCGTAGAAAAATAAACAGGCCGCCGAAAAATGCGGATGAATATCGAGCGTTACTGATAGACTCAGCAATTGCGAAATATGCACTGGACACGAGGCGAGGATAACGGTCCACGTCACGGAGACTGATAGCCGAGGCGGTAGAAATCGCCAAGCATCCCAGTGTTACCAGAATAGAAGGCGTGGAGCTGGCAAGCCTGTTGAGAACGGTTTTGGATCAGTCGAGCTGACACGTGTTGGTGTGCGTTTATCAGAAGGAGGAGTAGTCATCATCTGTGTTCCACCTCCCCTCTTCCCGACTAACTTATCGCAACATCCACAAGCCCACAAAGACCAACGAAATCTACCAGTGGCACCTTCCGAGAATCCTCAAATGAGGCCCCGTAAAGTGGAAGATTAAGGAGCCAAACCCGATCATAACTAGTATGAAACTCTCCTAACCCAGCAACGCAAGCATTTGGCAACCACACTAACCGAAAACAGCCGTCAGTTGACATTCAGCCCTGATCTGGTGCGCTAATATGAAGACGTCTTACTGATTGGTCCTCCGTCTGCGTTGAAACCTGGCCAACTCGGTGGCCTACTCACTTGGTCTGATGAAGCTTTCGTGTCAAAGCGAAACGCTGCCCAATTAAAAACTACCGATTTTTTCGCCAAGCCCTTCTGAGACGAAAACGTCATTCAGTTTGGTGTAATTAGCTAAGATGAATACAGTGCGACGCAGACTTCCTAAGTTTGAGAGTTATTTGCACATTTGAATGTGAAATTCACATAGAGGTTTTTATGATGTTCATGTACCGAATGCGGTCAAACGTGACCATAAGAAATGAATGTTTTATGCTTCTAAGCGGTTCATTAATCTATGCAGCAAATTCTAACTAGCTTGAAATCTCCACATACGTCACTCTCATATCGTTGGAAAACATTGTTCCAAAATTTCAGGTCTAGTTTGTGTGTACAGATGGCTACAACAAAGAAGCCTACTGTTAAGGAAAACAGTCAAACACAGTGGTGAAGTCTCTGGTTTCCCAATAGGTCTGGAACCAACGGACTCGTAGTCAGCTTCTGTTGATCGGTTGCAAAGAACTTTCTCGAAGTACACTCATCTACACACACCGATTTGGTTCTAGCGGGTAAGTCAGCCGAATTCCAGCTGAGTCACCCGCCCGTCGAATTCCTCAGTTCAATGTGCTTCACAAAGGCAGCCTCGTGTTTCAGTCAGTGTGATATTCTGGATATCGCTATGCATTGTATGGACGGAATGCATTGCTCATAAGGTTACTGAAAATTATTCGATAGCCCATGAAGGATTTCGCCCTTCTTGGAACTCATCAGGTAGGCCCAAGAACACCATAAATGAGAGATTCATCTGGGTTCCATGTGTGTCGCCCGTCAAAACCAAATCGATATGCAATGGAGTATATTTGTCGAAAATCACCCCTTAACTGGAGTGGTTGTCCTGGTTACCCAAAAGACACAGCGGGGGGTAAAAGGCATAATCTAAGTGTGGAGTGATGCGCTAATTCTCCTTTAGAGAGGTATGAACTGCTTTGCAAATTTTCTGGAGTTCGAGATTACAGTCGGGTTTATTGGTATTGTGCGACTACCAGCGTGGTGGATTCACCAGGTAATTTCTTCGGCAATTACTATGAAGCTCTCTCCCGTAAAACGGTTCCAGACTGTGGTTGTTTTGAAAGGCTTACCATAAGGCTAGTTCTCTTGGGTGCGGTCATCAGTGCATTTACTGGAGCGCAAGCTCACCACACTTAACAAGGTACATGAACGTTTTATCACTGCAATGTGGCTTGCTTATCATTAGTGTGGTTAGATTCTGATCCATCTGTGACCTCAGTAACCCCTCACAACAACATTATAAAGTACAATTGCAAACGTCCATGTTGATTGATTTGATAGCATGACATGAACCAAACTGTCAGTTTGTAGGAATTGTCGATCCAAGTACTAAATAAGGGAAGTCTCTCACGGTGATGAAGAGACTGCTGGGCTTTGAGGGAAGCACACTCACCGAGAAATGATTGCAAATGCAAATAGGATGCAGCGATTAAAACTTGAAAGCTCCTTGACGTGAAGCCCCTCATAATCCTTAGTGGTCACCATATTGAACAAACTATGACAGTTTAACTGAAATTAGCTCCCGGTAAAAAATGACCTGAATCATTTTTACATCACTTCTGGAACTGGCTACCCAACAAACACAAGTGCTTCATGGATTACGTTGTTTAACTCTCACATAAGAAGCAGTAGAGGATCTTCCTTTTCAATTATTTATTCTACCCGGCGTCCCCAAATGAAGCAAACAAGGATCCAGAGACTGAATTCGTTCATCAATTACAGTCCGCAGCAAACAAGTTGAATGAGGTGCCGGTCGTGTATCATGCTAAATTTGTTCAAAACGTAGTACCTTCGTTGTTCCCGATGTAGGTTTATGAAATTCAACGGTTGGCGCAAGCATTAAGTCAAAGTTATGTGCTGCAAACAGATTTTTATTATGTACAGTTTGGTGAGTACAGTGCGATCCGTTTCTGGGCATACCGATCGGACTGAACGATGGAAACTATGGCTCTGGGGTATCCTATAAATACCCCATCTCAATCGCATAATTCAGAGCTGCAATATCTCCGTGAGAACTGATTCTCCAAAATGGCCAGTGGAGCTGTAAAAGTAGAAAAAATCAATGAAACAGATGCTGGGTTTTCGTTGGTCATCAGTTGGACCCCCCCTTGCAACTCACTTTGGTTTATTCTGTTTTTATCAAACATTGTGTACGAAATGCCTGTGGGAGGAACCCATTCTCCTAGGGTTTCTCGAGCATCTTACCACGAACGTACTCATTGCTACTTGGCATTCGGATGCCATAAATCACTTGACCTCGAATGACGCACTCGAGTTGTGCGAAATTCCATGAGAAACACTCTGAACAGATGCATTAAACAATCAGTGGCCAAAAACTGCAACGGTTGTTTGTTACGGGCATGTTTTTGATCATTTATCAAATTCTAGCTCCCTCCAGTCATAGATTATGGTAGGCAGGACCACATGCATAAGCCAGTCTCACTAGCAGACCCCAGCTCTTTTCGCACGTATTTAGATTCAAACTGTGATTGGGTGAATTCCCAGTGAACGACCAAATTTTGGTGAGATAGTCCACGTATGATTAAATTGTCACTCCGAGGAAATACTAATCCAAACCGGCTTGCCCGACTCAAAGGAAGCAAGAAAACTTGTTTCAGAATATTTTAGGAAGTATTCGATAAATGTATGAACTGGCAGCCTGTTCATATTTTGTTGTTACCAATTGAATTTTCCAGCCTGCGAAAGCGGTACCCAAAGCCATCATAGAAGCACTACTACAAGCTCGACGACTCAGGTTATTCTTTGCTTTTTGTTCCATAAAATCCTCAGGCGTTCTGGTATAAAATGATATTATCAGGGCCAAATCGAGTTCACTCCACCTCACCCCAGATTTCGCATACATTAATGTCACCCTACTAGCCGTAGTTTGCTACCAGCTTCCAAAGGGTTAATGTACTCCTTCGAAGCCGCGCCAGTAAACAGCTCGCTGAAGAGAGTACTATCCAGAAGATTCTCGATTCATTCAGTGATTTGCCTGGGGATAAACTCTTTACCTTGCGATTTCATATGAGCTTCCCTTGTTTGGAACAGGCATAGCAACTTATATGTAGTATTCTTACGGGTGGAGTCACCAGCCACTACACCATTATCATCACTAACACATGCTCATACCACCGTCACTCATTGTGTTCGCTTCAACCATATTCTTAACGAATCTTCAAAGATAGCTACTCTACTACACTGAATATGGGAAATTTTTTTGGTATATCTCTCTGCAATGGTACATCTAAAGTTCTGGTGCAAGAACGAATCGGTGGATGACTACGTTGTTTATTATACAGCTGTAATCCAAATATTAGCTGATGGGTTAGTTATATAGAAGCCATATTTTGATCTACAACCTAGATTCTTCTGCCTTGAACACTGAATTTCACAGCAATATTTAGGCACTAGTGTGCTATACCCATAAGACTTTCACGTGAGTGAACGGTCACCTACCCTAATGAACTTATTCTAGTTGACCTGAAAGAATCAGGATGTCACAGAAGTCGAACTAAACTCCCATTAGAGCCAATCAGTGACGCATGACATCAACATCTATGTATGAATGTCGTTATCCTTAGTTTCACTATTAGCAAGTTCGTAAAACAAGCTGGAAGCACCTAATTACTCCGTCTAAACAGATTAGTGTTAATACATGCGTAATTTCTAGTTAAACCAACGCTGGATTACTGGCAACACCCATAATTCACATATCAGAAATACGATTCTCGGGCTTTTGCACGGGGTGAACATAACAACTAGGCAAGGAACAAGAAAAGGCCTTCCGTAGAGGGAAATAATGGTAGCTCAGGTAGCGTAGATGGTCTTTGGCTTGTTTTCTGAGCTGGGAAATTCGACTGTAAACGTTCCATTACCAATAGATGTGACGTTATCAGTACGTTGTAAGGAGCCGGACTAGAGCGTAGCGATGTTCCAGTGATTGTGCGTTGAGCAGTATTGTGTGTCATTATATGTGCTGTTAGCTGGGGCTGACCTTTGATCACAATAAGTTGTTTGGTCGGGTGGCTCCACTGACTGGACACAGGATAATAGAACAACCAATGGAACCGCCCGACCGAACATCTGATCGTGGTCAAAGGTCAGCCGCGGCTAGCAGCCCGTATATTAACACACACACACGCAAAACTACTCAACACGCAACCACCAATCCATCGCTACGCACAACTTCACGCCCTAGCAACGCACTGACGATGTCACTTCGATTGGCGATGAAACATTTGCAATCAAATTGCCCAGCTCAGTGAACAGGAAGAGATCTGTCTAAACAAGAGTGATGTGGACACAAATTCAGCACAACCCACAGCTACTTGTAAATAAGTTGAGTAGTATGAACTGATAAATACTTCGAAGGTACTCGTAGTGTTGCATCAAGAACGGCAGACTGAAGACCTCTCTAGGTTTTGTCAGCCCCACTTGATGAGTGTACGATTCTGGAGACTTTCATACAATGCACCAAATAACCACTAACTAGTGTGTTCCCTTTCAGGAAATAATTGAAACAAGCGATTGACTTGGTGTGATAGGGAAATATCTCTAGATTTTCGTTTCTGAATACTTGAAGGCCGCTGTAACTCATCTGCTCCGATCTGCTGTGAGTTGTGCTGAAAAACATTAGGCACAACTTCTCGGACTGGCATATTCAGCAACAATAGAGCGCATGTTTTACTTGAGAGTTACGCTCACGCCATGCATGAATTCATACGTCGTTCAATACATCTAGGTAAAATCTCTGTCTATGAACATCCACTTACTGGTTGCCCATAAGACAATGCCCAAACCAAACTGACCGAATTGTATGGATATGACTGCACATGTAATCGAATGTATGTCAAAATGGCGTTCATTATTCACAGGTCACACGCCTAATTATCGCGCCAAAGAACACATAATATATTACAATATTCTGTATTATTTGAGATAAGCTTACAGTCGCTTATTTACTTTCCCCATTATACTCGGAATAACGACCCGTCTCCATCCTTATCTACCTTGATGTGTTTCAGAGATATGATTATTATAACAGCAAAAGCATACAAACGTTGCCAGAGTAAACTGCCGGTCAATAGAATACGTCAACTGAGGCGCCAGAAAATTTTGTGATTAAGATGCCAGCCAAGAAGTTATATCTTAGAATGTTAGATAGGAAGCGGTGTTTGGCGATTCGTTACCCGAGACAGCTGTAGCACTTACAAACCCACAAAGACTAACAGAATCTACCAGTGACTCAAGAGGAATCATTAAATGAAAAGTCTTGAACCGGTAGATCATGTACCAAACTGATCCACAGTTACCTCTAACCCATGGGCCATAAGAATTATGTACCCGCGCTATCCAACAAGGTTTTTTTAACCTACACTCAACATCGAACTAACGTGCCAGTCGAAGGGCATCTTTTTAATTCGTTTTCTATCCGTCTTAAAACTCGGATTCCTTTGACCTGACTAAGCTGTCATGTCAAAAGCGAAACATTGTCCAGATATAAAACCACTGACTGTTTACCAGACCTTTCAGAAACGATGACCTCTCAGTCGGTTACAATTTGTTTCCAGTTGCCTGAAGAGCACTCGGTGTGTTAAATTTATAGGCTCGCTTTTGCGGAGGCGTAATAACCATTAGCCTGCACTTTTGAAGTCTAAGGAATAAGTGTACATGTCCCAACAGAATATTTAGCGGTGTTGATATAATTATTTTTAACAGTTATACACAAGGGTCATGCTCCCAACCTATGTATAAGTCGCATGTTGGGCGGCGTAACCTGATTATACATTGAGAAAAATGTCTGGGAAACATGGTGTTTCAGTAGAGTAACTCACTTGTTTTGCTGCATCTTCTTCCTCCTTTCCGTCACCAATAACCACGTAGGTAGATTTTCGGCCAAATTTGGCGGCTATTCTCTCGAAGCAGCTTTCTTTACCTGCAGAATGAAAAGTCAAAATTGAATGGGGAATTTCCTGAGTCGATCTCTACCTGAGTATTGAACCCATCTCAGTTTAAACGCAGGTGCATCAAGCCAGTGTAAGCTCTCTAGCAAACAGTTTTCACTGAAATGACCATGTAAATGCAAGGCTCAAAAGCAACAGAAGGCGTTTTTGGCTGTCTGAAGCCTCTTCGTTATTGATCTCCCAGGGATACGTTTCAAAAATGTAGCTTCTAGTGAAAACTGCGTTAAATCAACACGACCCTTTCTAATTAGTTCTGATATTCCTGATAGACTCGGCAAAGCACTTCATACGATAAACGATTGTACATGCGATGTGGACAGCTCATCCTCTGAGGGTACGGCTTGTGGTTGAATGGAACAACTGGTTCACTAAAGTTATTGTTAGTATTCAGTGATTCCTTACATACTGACTCTAGGAGCGAACTCACGGTTTGTATGGATGCGTATTTGTTTTCTTTTCAACCAACAAAAGTAGCCCCTAATAGCGTAAGTTAATTCTACTGGGAAAAGTATGCGAATTACATCATGGATCAAAAGGACTCACAACAAACCACCATAATCCTAAATCAATAACGCCCATGTTGAGTTGTCTGCCCCTATGGACGTTCGTTGGGAAGTGGAATCTTATCCTGAGTCTATTTATTATTCTCATTTTTGGGGTCGTAGAGAGCCAAATATGAAGAATTTTCCGTCCTGATTATGAATGTCACATATAGGAAGCTGACTGAACCAACCCTGTACTCGTTCTATGGTTCAGACTGTTTCAAGATAAATGGGTGTCAAGTGTAACTCCTACGGGGAGTCGGCTGCTTGGTTTGGTTACTTATGAGCTGCATGGAGTAAAATGTACCCTATTTATAGGAATAGGTCTATCGAATAATGGACTCGAGAACCAATAAATGGGGAGTGACTGGTGGTGGATCTCTCATGGGGGATCATGAAACTCTGTCGCTTAATTCGTTCACCGACGCTTACATAACCTCTAGGTCTCAAGAGAGGCATAACAGATTTCGGCTGGATTGCTGCGGAACTTCCAACTACCCTCGCAAGAGGAACATCTGACGCTTGGAGGCTTAGTCAGAATCATGTCGATAGTGGCTTTGTAACAAGAATTTTCCCATGTATTTGACATTTTTAGGCGAATTCCCACATAGCTGACTACCAATTTACCACGATTTATTATTAACTACTTCAGTTTGCATCGTCTTGAGAAAATTTGGAGAAAAAGAGGCTCGGTACTGTATTGGCTTTTCCCATCATCGGAAGAAGACTTTCCGATCGGTTTCACGGGTTTTGATAGGCCAAATACCTGAGCGACAGCGCACAATTGTTCCGCTGAACTGAATAGAAAAACAATTGACTGACCTGGAAGGAATCACCTGAGTGTCAGGGGGAGTCAGCTCTTGCTTTTGGCCAATCTGCCAAACAATGACCGAATAGTGAATGCCGGGTGAGGTCTCTCAACCACTCAAGTCTAAGTCAAAGGTGCATGCATGTGTATGCACATACATTCCGTTCACATGATATCCCAAAAACTGAGAAAGCGACTATGCCTCTTTGTTGGTGCAAGTCATTTCGAACACGTGTTACGGGTTTTTAACCACCAATTCACCTAAGCTTACATGGAGATATGACAATCTGGTTGATGAGAAAACTTGAACAGACTCATTGTAGGTTGAGATCGGTTCCAAGACGCCTCTCAGCCAGTCTTAGGGCAGCTTAACTGGATTTCGATAATTTCTAGGTGAAAAACAGTTTTCAAAAAGTCGGACCGCAATTTCTCCAGTATACGAATGATCACAAACTGTGCACAATCCAAAAAATGTAAAAACTGATTTGTTTTGAAAAAGATCAGATGCAAGACTAGGGTTTTGAATGTATTATCTCCGGCGCATTTTACTTCTTGATCTACAAAGCACTTGACTTAAGCCGAGCAAGAAGACGGCATAAATTCCTTAACTCTGACGGATTCTTCACATACGTCAGCATGACAGTGTAGTGCTATGAGGGTTGCAATGGTCTCATAATCAGAAAAACATCTCCAGTATTCTGAATTAATTTTGCATCGGATTTTTCTTCCTATTCAAATAGCCTGGAAAATACTTTCCAAAAAATACCAAATGCTTCAATTCTGTAAATTTATTTGGCCTGAAATGACAGGCATATAACCCAGACTCCATAACATCTTGGCGAACTAACAAAAAGAAGCGAATATATTCCAAACGGTTACATGGTGAGACATCTCCATAAGAGAGGACTGGCATCTAAGTACAAATTACACCGATCCCCGTAACAGGGTAATCCAAATTTGTTTAAAAATTGGGGATGCAATTTAGTCCGAAGCAACAACACAATATGAAACAAGAAACATACCAAACCGGTGGGTACCTATATACTTATTATCCCCAATCTTTCGCAATTCCTCAAAGGGCTAGAACAGGCCCGTCGGTGTAGCCATTCGGGAATGAGAAGCTGAAGGGTATGTCTACGGTATAAATTATGTACAAAGCATAGCAGTTCTGCCGGTCTTTATTTTGCTAGCCGCGTAGGTATTTAATGTGAGGTGATACGCCTAACAACCAAAAATGATGAGCATTCTGTAATTGCAATTAGTGTATTGTGAACAGATCCCATACATTGGTCTGCACATGTTGTCTTCACTCCAGACTCTTGCGATCGCATCAAACAAATCAACTGTGAGTGGTCATTAGGCTTAGGTTCGGTCAAAAGTGGAGAAGGTCCTCTGTGGAATTGATCTTGAATAGTCTGTTATGCTTCTTAAGACTTCTTAAGACACCCAACTTCACTACCCCAAAACCAATGCGGTGGTGCCGCAGTGTAAGTTAGCATCAGTGAAAATCTCCACAGTGAGATAATAGTCTGATTAATTTACTATGGGTAAGTTTAGGTTTTAAGCAATGTAACGCTACGGAATTAAGGCGGAGTAAAAAAAATCCCAACAAAAACTCTCTCTGATATGACCATATGGTTGTGAACGATGGCCTTAATATTAGGCTATTTGTCACTCCATATCAGGACCAAATCCCTAACACGACAGAATTCACTTGTTCTTCTGAAGGCTGAATTGGGCACAGAGTGATCCATATGTAACATGGTTCATTTTCTAATCATTACCATTTTTGTGAGTAAACAACCCAATCTCCTGAAGGGGTCGAGATAACAAGGCACTCTGAAGGTGACAGCGATGGACTTAGGGATGGGTGGATGCGAAGGAACAAGGCGAACCTAAGCAGGATTCTTCGCTTTCTGAAAGAGACGGCTGTTCTCTACGAAAAATAAAATACATATTAATTTAACCTAGCTACGGATCATTATACCTTGAAGACGTAGTGATGCACCAAGAAGTACTAACCAAAGTATGACTTTTTGTTGTATTTTATACATATTTTAATGCAGCAACAGCTGTTTATCAAAGTGGGACCGGCAGCTGATAGCAGTGTCCGCTAAAAAACGAAATGAGGTCGTTCAAATGCAAGTTCGAGATACTAACTGGGATACCTATTACTCCGAGAAACTATAAATTAATTGATGCAATATTCACCTGATGTTAATTCACTCGGAGGTATCAAACTAGGGGCACTCACTAGATGTTGAGAAGTGACCCCCGTTAAGGCCCCCTAGAAGGGACAATCCTCATTTAACTGGAAGCCGGTCATTCCTCATTACTGCCACTCCGTGACGCGTTTCATCATAACACCAACCCAACTCTCAGCTTGTGTCGTCATTCTTGAGTACAGAGTGATCCGAAATTTTCTCTACGGTTTTAGTTCAGGTACCGTCCAATCCATACAGTTGCACATTACGATGTAATATTTCGAACATATTCGGAAGGGGTTCATTTTCTTATTCAAGATTTCTTCATAATTCACGAAGAACGATGTTCCATAGGAGTGAATGGCCCTCAATGAACCCATTGTATCTCACCAACAAAGATGAGTGTCATTTTCTCCCCCTCCATATCTACCCACGAGGACAGCCGCTATTAACACAGTGTACTGCAAATACCCAAACATTCACGCCACTAAGGGTACAGACCGATCTGAGTATCACTGCTAAGATGTGTTCCAAATACAAAATGGATTCTATTTTGTGGAATAAAAGCGTGTGTATAGCAAGCAAATAATATCTACCTATTTTCGTAGCTGAATATATATTTTCAATTGGAAACGCGCCGGCCAAGCCGTACAAAAGCAGCTTTGCCAAGGTTGGAACCAGTTGTGTTGTGGTCACCACGACATTCACACTTTCCCAGCGTGAGCATATTCGTTCGGTCACTTTGCAAGCCAAGCTGAGCCAGTAGTCCGTGAGAACGTCCAAGTTGCTTCGTAAAGTCATCCATTGATGGGCTTTTGTGGCGCCTAACAAGGCGGCGACATTATACCTGAAAAAGGAGTACTTTATGCAACATGATCAACGTCATACCCGTCTGTGGTCATTCGCAATAACTTCTTAGAGAAACAAGCGAGAATCCGATTTGTCTTTTATAACGTTCTATGGTGAGTAGAACTCTTAATAACGCACCTAAAATCACCTAATCCAGACGATGCACGCCAAACATAAAAACTTATTATACGGTTGAGTGTAAAACTGGAAACCATTTAGATTTCTACCAATTAGGGATTCGCAAACACAACTAACAAAATAAAAGCCTAAAAGTTGAATTAGATCACGACATTTGATTAGCTCTGGTATAGATAACAGTCAGCGGTAAAAGTGAATTTCATCACTGTACCCAGAATGCACTTTGTGAGTGACATTTCAGCGGTCACTGTCCTTTCTTACTCTTCTCTATATGTGACTCTCCCTGGCTTACGCACATAACTGTTAGCAGGGTGAAGGTTTTGTTGACTGTGTATCAACCTCCGTCGGAAAATTGATCCTAAGTTTAGTTCATGTCCAAGGAGCTGTATACAAGTCATAGGAGACCAGGTCTAGCCGATAGTGAACATATTCGGCTACCCCACTGACACATGCTGGTCGGCCAGGTCTAGCCGATAGTGAACATATTCGGCCGTACTCCGACGGCAGGACACGCAACTAGTTAGAGCTACTCCACTGACACATGCTGGTCGGTTCTAAAATATCGAGTTAAACGGACAAGTTCATGCTTGTGCGATGCGTGCCTCGAACGGCAACCCATCTGTCCCGGTTTTACTGACCTAACAGTCAAACGAGGTCAAATATTTTTACTATCAGTACGTAGTTGTGGGTCCGGTTGAATTTGTTTTCAATTTACTTCGTGACTCAATAAGTCCAGTGGAAGAATCTGAATAACTGCTTCAGATAAGAAGATGACCTCTTACTTTAGCGTGTCTCAAGAGTCCAATTGTTTTATCGACCTCTAGCCAGAAAGAGTTTATGCACTCAAGTCAGTTTCCCACCAAGAAATGAATTTGCTCGGTATTACTGGGAACGTAATGAACTGCGAAAACCTTGTTCACTTTTGCAGAGTAAAAGTTTGCAGACTTCGTTCGGATGATAATTGGCGAAAACCGAAACATTTTTTCTTGAAAATACGAATTTCCCCCAAAAAATTCCAAGTTACTCCCTTGGGTGGAAAACAAGTCACCATTTCTGTTCAAGGGAATAACGCCTAATTCTCCAGAGAAACTCAGCTGCGGCTGAAGTACAACACTTCTGTTTCCAGCGTAGCTTACCCGCAGGGGTAGATGTTTCAGTCGGATGAATTGTACTGTTCAACAAGCGGGCCTTGAAAAATACACGGCATATGAAACGCATCGACTCCGGGCGCAGGAAGAAACACAAGCGAAGCAGAAATCGTTAGAATGATGATATTACAAACAAGCTGTATGAGTTCTCCAGGCAATTAAGTCATTGAGAATACAGGGGGAATATTTAATACTTGACAGTAGGCTGCTTTAATTAGGTAAAAAATGAAGATTAGACTTTACATAATCCATCGCCTATTCTGGCTTATGTCTGCTATCGGTCAGATGAGTTTTGGTGCCCCGGAAATAGTGAGGAGTTGAGTTGAGACCAGCTTGATTTGTTCACCGAGTTTGGCGATAAGCTTGCAAAGATTTCGTCACGAATCGAGGGGACATATCAGTGCGCGGTTGAGTGGGTGCAAGCTGATCGCCATGCTTGGCGAACAGATCAACAGCCACTTAATTAACTACCAGTGAATGCGCCCGAGCTGCCAGTATTCCGGTACATTTCTAGCAGTTGAGTAACGTGGTATGACCTGATACAATACCTGACTATCTCTGGTAGGAGTGACTCTATGGTTGTGACCAACCGAACCGGGCTTTTTTATTCCAACGG